TGTCACGTCAGCGGTACTTATAAAACTTGTCCAGGAATGTCCCTGGCCAAATTACAAATTTTTCTTTACTTCAATAACCGACGGGGCACTAGAACTGCAGGGACCGCCCCTGACATCTTCTCCCCACCTCACGCGCCCTACCAGCATGGAGGGGCACCTTTTTCCTGAAAGCGTTCGGGTTCTAAAAACGGGACTTGCTCTCGCGAGCAGCGAGTTTTTGAGGAGTAGTTCAAAACTTCCCGGGGTCGGGTCTGGTCGAAGAGAAACGGTCTCTTCCAGAGTATCGCGATTTCTAGTTAAATTCCTAAATTCTACTCGCGTGAGCAATCCAATCTAATCATAGGTACATCTTATTTAATCTTCCTAGTTAACCGCGTCTAATTATTATAAATAGTTATAACATAAGTCTGGATATGTGTGTAGCAACTGCAGAAGTTATAAAATACACTAATTACTTTTGAGCAATTATAAGTACGTATATATATTAATATTTGACGAAACCTCTCCTTTTACAATAAACGCCGCCGCGCGTATACGTTTATCGTTTAACTTGGAGATCGTGTGTGTGAACGAGCGGAATCAGCGCCGGCCAATCATCGAGCACCTACAAGGAGCCTGACCAACCAGAGTCCAGACTGAGCCGCGCGTCCCGCACCACGGACCGAACCACCAGCAAGATTCATGAAGGTATTACCATAGGTTTCTTCTTAATCGAAAGGACGCGCAACTCTCGATTTGTTACCCGCCATTGGTCCCGGGTTTGTCCAGGTATCAATTACCAACGGTTGGACCTTGGGACGTAACACAATAGTACTAATAACAGCTTTTGATTGGTTGTCGCAAATGCGTCTGCAAACTGCGTTCTGCGTTTGCAACTTATGTAGATGGTTCTTTACACGTAAGTGATGCGGTACGAGACTGCATCTAATGTAACCCAAGAGAAAACACAATTATTAGGTCATCTAAAAAGTATCCGCGGTACTTTGTCACTAGATATATGATCATCAACACACATCTAGTGACAAAAAACCGCGGATACTTTTTAGATGACCCAATATTATAACGGTTTTCACTGGCCTAGTTTCCATCGAGGGTTTCATAAATGTAAAAATCAATCAACTACAGTCGAGTATTCCCCTATTATAATCGAATGACTCGATCTGTTAATTTAAAGATTCTTCTAGAGTTAATCTTTAACCTTTTTGACATATGTGATATGCGTACGCGTATGTAATAAATATGTAATAAATATCTTTTAAACGTTAAATATTGGGTCATCTAAAAAGTATCCGCGGTACTTTGTCACTAGATATTAGGTGTTGGAATTAATTCGTAGCGTTTTACAAGTGATGGGAAGTACTTTCATTAATGTATTTTTTAATGCTCATGTGAAATAAATAACATTCTTTCATTAAAAAACGCTACGAATTAATTCCAACACCTAATATATGACCATCAACACACATCTAGTGACAAAAAACCGCGGATACTTTTTAGATGACCCAATATATTGTGGCATAAAATTAGAATTAAATAAAATAAAAATCACATAAATAACTGAAAATATGAAATGCATAGAGACTAACAAGATGAATAAAAAAGAATAGAGTATTAAAATGTTCATTAATTTATTTACTTTTTTCAACAAAGTTGAGACAGTTCATACAAAATAAGCAATAAATCCAAATTTTCCGCGTTTATTTTTATTTCTTTCCAAATTGAATATAATTTTTACGAAATCGCGCTCCAGGGAATCGATTCTGTATCTCGAAATGAGGTGAAAATTATAAAAGTGAGAAGAATTTACTAGAATACTGAAGGTGCAAGATTGTTTTTCTATAAAAAAAAAAAAAAATTCGATCGTGTCATGAAAATTGTTTATAGCAAGTATATTTTTAAATCAGAATTATATTAGGTGTTGGAATTAATTCGTAGCGTTTTTTAATGAAAGAATGTTATTTATTTCACATGAGCATTAAAAAATACATTAATGAAAGTACTTCCCATCACTTGTAAAACGCTACGAATTAATTCCAACACCTAATATAATAATATAATGTTAACGAACTCATTATATAAAGATATTCACATTAATAATAATAATAATATTATACAATAATAAGTAAATTAAAAATAATAATTGATTAAATACTATATAAAAAAAAATTGTGTATATGATCAGAAAAGTTACCAAAATACTTGGAAGACAAAAAGAGGATGAAAGATAGAAGTTTAATAGCAAGATTCAGATGTGGGAACGAGACAAAAGGAGGCCACTACTGGAGAGAGGACGAAGAAAAGAGATGTAGAATTTGCCATGCTGCAGAAGAGAGTATGAGCCATATACTCAAGGAGTGCAAGGAAACAAAGAGATGCTGATGGAAGAATTTATAGAGATAGAAGGTAAAGGGATAGAGATAATGAAGAGGATAGATAAGACAAGAAAAGAAGCAGAAGGGAGGAAAAAGAAACAAGAGTGAGGATTCATCCCAGATTGCTACACAAAAGATTAGAAAGCAAAGTTTTATATAAGTATAACTTTAAGGGCAGTTCCAAGCAATATGTAGAGGCAATTATAAAGTACCAAAGTCATAAGTAATTATATGTAGATATGCTATATGTAGGAAATGTGCGATATACACTGTTTTGTTTTGAATGAATAGTTTTTATATGTATTTCAAGTATTTCAAGTATTTGTGTGTGTGTGTGTGTGTGTGTGTGTGTGTGTGTGTGTGTGTAGCGAGAATAGAGCTGTATAAGAAAAATATGAAGAATGTATACAGAAGGGGGATAGGAGTCAGATGTCAGATTAAAATAAGAACAAATGTAAAAGAAATGTACTGGAAATCATCCTAAGCCGCAAGGCAAGGATTAAAATTAAATAATAAAAATAAAAAACTATATGAAAATTGTAATTGAATAATTATGTATAAAAAAATACTTTTCTCCATACTTTTACAAATTTAAAAAAAAATTAAGCTTCATACGAACGACGTACCATGGCTTTTACCTGTGATACTCGTGTTTAGCCCGATTTTCCTACTACGAATTTCACACAATATTGTAGGCAAAAGGGTTAATTATATTTTATGGGAAGGAAATTCAACTAACCTAATCTAACCTGCAATTTCAACTTGCTAAAGGTAACACATTCTTTATTGGAAATCGACGCATGCGCATTAAAAATTGGGGGACTACATAAAAATTCAGTGTTCATACTGCGGATATTGTATAATCAATGCGATATTGCAAACACTTTGAAACGTTTTTTAATTGGTCAGTTTGTAAAATTCTTTTTTCTAATTGGTTGATCAAACACTTCAAAGCATTTGTAGCGAGACTTTGACTACAGCCTATATGAATATTTATACTGTGACAGCACTCTCAAATCATTTTTTGATTGGTCAATTAGTAAAATTCTTTCTTCCGATTGGTTAATCAAATGCTTCAAAACATTCGTAATGGCAACTTGACCATACTCTTTGTTAATTGATAAATATAAACACGATTTTATTATAACTTCTTACATAAAATGGTTCGATACTGCATTTTGTGTTGTAATCGTGACAAAACAGTGTCTTATCACAAGTAAGTGTATTACACAACTCGTAATTATCAATAAATATTATACTTATATTCTATGTTTTAGGTTAAGTATAATAAAATCATATTCCAATTCTTGCAGATTTCCAAAAGATATGCACATAAGGAAAAAATGGTTAGAGTTTTGTAATTTTGGTGAAAATTTTGTAATTAAAACTTCCACTTATTTATGCTCAAAACATTTTACGGAAAAAGATTATCTTCTTACAGCAACTAATAGAATTTTAATGAGTGGAAGCATACCATCTATTTATCATGTCAAAAAAAGAAAAAGGTATGTACATAAAAAAATAAACTGTATTATATAAAACAAATTGTTTGATTTGGTTTTTTTTAGTTTTATATATATATATATATATATATATATATATGTGTGTGTGTGTATTATAATTGTAGGAATCAAAATAACAACAAAGTTGAGATTGCAAAATGCCACAAAAGTGAATATATGGTAAATGTATGTCAAGAGAAATCATGTTCAACAATGGTAAATTTATGTGAGAAGGAACTATCATGTTCGATTATAGTAAATGTATGTAAAGAGGAACCATCATATTCAACTATAATAGCTAGTGGATTGCTTGCGTTCTAATAAATTAATAAAATTGTATAATTGTATGTAAAGAGGAACCATCATATTCAACAATAGCCGATAAAAATATGGACGAATTAATTCTTAAAGAAGAAAAAATTGATCATGGTAAGTTTCTTTAAATGATAAACTAGCGGCACATGATACACATTTTCTTACTGGATTGCTTGCGTTCTAATAAATTAATAAAATTGTATAATTCTTAATTGTATAATTGTATGTAAAGAGGAACCATCATATTCAACTGTAATAGCCGATAAAAATACGGACGAATTAATTCTTAAAGAAGAAAAAATTGATCATGGTAAGTTTCTTTAAATGATAAACTAGCGGTACATGATACACATTATCTTACTGGATTGCTTGCGTTCTAATAAATTAATAAAATTGTATAATTCTTAATTGTATAATTGTATGTAAAGAGGAACCACATATTAACATGTAATAGCCGATAAAAATACGGACGAATTAATTCTTAAAGAAGAAAAAATTGATCATGGTAAGTTTCTTTAAATGATAAACTAGCGGTACATGATACACATTATCTTACTGAATTGCTTGCGTTCTAATAAATTAATAAAATTGTATATTGTATGTAAAGAAGAATCATCATATTCAACTGTAATAGCCGATAAAAATATGGACGAATTAATTCTTAAAGAAGAAAAAATTGATCATGGTAAGTTTCTTTAAATGATAAACTAGCGGCACATGATACACATTTTCTTACTGGATTGCTTGCGTTCTAATAAATTAATAAAATTGTATAATTCTTAATTGTATAATTGTATGTAAAGAGGAACCATCATATTCAACTGTAATAGCCGATAAAAATACGGACGAATTAATTCTTAAAGAAGAAAAAATTGATCATGGTAAGTTTCTTTAAATGATAAACTAGCGGCACATGATACACATTTTCTTACTGGATTGCTTGCGTTCTAATAAATTAATAAAATTGTATAATTGTATGTAAAGAGGAACCATCATATTCAACTATAATAGCTAGTAAAAATACGGACGAATTAATTCTTAAAGAAGAAAAAATTGATCATGGTAAGTTTCTTTAAATGATAAACTAGCGGCACATGATACACATTTTCTTACTGGATTGCTTGCGTTGTAATAATAAATTAATAAAATTGTATAATTCTAAATATATAATATAAATATAAAGTGCATAAATAATTTCTACTAATTCGTGTTAAACAATGCATGCGATCGAGCAAGACAAAATGTATTGTATACTGCTGGTTTTAGTCATTTTGGAGTTATGACTCATTATAAAAAAAAATTTAAATAATTTTTTTATAAAAAAATATTTATAATAATTATATTTAGGAAATTAAGTTTAGTAATTTATATTATAAATAATAATAAATTTTAGTGTCAGCAATAGCGGTTAGACTATAAATTATGAATAAATTAAATTATTGAAGTATGATTGCACTGTTTGTTCTTTAACATGTATATTAAATATTTCGTATTCACGAGTTGAAATCTTAATTATTCAATACATGGGAATATAGAATTATTATTATGATCAGGTATTGATGGAATGTCGCTGATGGACTTTATTTGTCCGAATTCTCCACATGAACCACGTTATATTGGCGACATTAGGATATCACATTTAGCTACACCATAAAAAGCTGAGAGAGCTTTAAATCTAGCAAAGCTCATAGTAAAAAAACAAAGAAGGAAAATTTTAACTTTACAACAAACAACTACTAGATTGAGAAAGCGTATTAAAACCATGAAAGCTTTGATAGATCATCTAAAGAAAAGAATATTATATCAGATGATGCTATTAATTAATGGTACATTTTGACAAAATTATATAATAATGAATCAAAATGAATTGATATACAATCCAGAAATTAATAATAAAGCGATAGGCTTAAGATTGAGTTGTTAATTTAAATTGTACATTAAATAATAAAATATACACTTTGTTTTTTTTTTAGATAGAATAATTTAGGTTTTAAATCTTTGTTTTAAAATTTTTGACACGTGTTATTCCAACGAGAGTCAGATAACTAATGTTTTTTTAGTTGTCTGACTCCCGTTGGGATAACAAATGTCAAAAATTTTATATTGTGTAATGTGGCAACTGAACATTAGATTTTTTGTTATTGTTCTTTGTACAACTTGACTTCCTATATTTAAAATAATTTTTTAAAATACCAACTACAGTCGAGTATTTTCATTCGACTGTAACAGGGGAATACTCAACTGTTGGTTAGTTTTTACATTCTGATCCGAATTAGGCTGCGTTCGGAAACACTCACTGGTGTGCCACTAATACACACCAGCCGTTCGAAAATATTCGTGTGTATTCTGTGTGCACTAGTGTGAGATCGTTCGGAAACGTCGACAGAATCACACCGAGTGTCACTAAACCATCCGTGCGAAAAGCAAGAGGAGTTGATGTGAGTCGATTTATATTATGGCCACAGCATAGACTTGCATAACGCATAAGGGAATCGACCAATCGAAATTCGAAATTTAGAAAAAATGACTTATATTCTTTTTACAATCATATACTGCCGTCGTTCCTCTACAATTATTCTACCGCCTTTCTTCACCGGTGAATGTTGTTTAACTGAATTGATTAGGTTAGGGTTAAACGTGAGCGGTGAGGTGGAATTGAGATGACACACACGCTACACAGAAGCCGTTCGGGAACACTCACTACCCAAAGGCATGATACTCTCACTACTTCTCCACTGAAGTCACCGAAACCCATCAACAAATGATATTTTCGAATGCAGCCTTAAATCCTCAATGGAAACTGGACCACTGATAAATTCACTGATAAAGGTCGGTTGTTCCACCTTTTGGTAAATTTTACCTGTGAGGTAAATCCACGCATGTGATTGGGTAATCTTGCTACTCACCCAATAGATCAAATTTACCAAAAGATCGAACAACCGGCCTTAAGGCTGAATCAAGGGGGATTTAGTGTTATTAGATGTACCGGGTTTCAGACATGCGCCTCCAATGTAGTGTAAACAATTGACGACAGAGAAAAATATTGGGTCATCTAAAAAGTATCCGCGGTACTTTCCTTATCCTTTGTCACTAGATATATGACCATCAACACACATCTAGTGAAAAAAACAGCGGATACTTTTTAGATGACCCAATATCAGGACGCTCCTCTCGATCCCAAGCCTGTTCTCTCCTCTGATTTGATAGACTTTCATTCTGCCACTGAGCCACACAACTCTGACGCTGTTGGTATCTCTGTTGTGTCTATATCTAGTAAATGTTTTACAAAAGCTTCAGTAAAGTATCGGTCTCTAGTAAATAGAAGATCATTAATCGCCTATGTAAAATTTTTTCAAAAATGTTGAAAATTTTAATATATTTTACATATTTTATATATATAAAATATATTAAAATTTTCAACTAAAATATGTAAAATATATTAAAATTTTCAACATTTTTAACCCTAGCAACTAATGATTTCCTATTTATTAGTAATCGGTACATTACTAAAGCTACATTGGACGCGTATGCGTTTGAAACTTAGCCATCTAACTGCATCATTCTATCCTTATTGATATTCATAGAAAGTGACAAAGATAGAACGACACTTGTGTCGATTTGTATCATCAAATGGAGAACATCCACTGGATCAATTATATATCTTGAAAATTATTGGTGTTGACATCAACATCATCTAGTGACAAAAAACCGCGGATACTTTTTAGATGACCCAATACAAAAGTGAGCAAATAACACTAGAGTATTCATAATTTAATTGGTCAATATCTAGTAACCTTTGCTCACTTTTGTAATTTTCACCTCCTTTCAAGATACACAATCGATTCCCAGACTATTGAAGAATGAGATCGAAGATTGAAAGATTAATGTTTGACCAATCAGAATAAAAGGAATCAAAATTTCCATGTCCTCATTGGTGAAATTTCAATCTTTAATCTTTAATCTCAATCTTCAATGCATAGTCTGATTCCGATCTATGACTTTAGTGGAAATCCGTTTGGGCCGAATAGGTTATTTGATATTGTTCAACTATGCATGGTTGGCAATAATGGCAGCCGTGATGGCATTTATCATGTCTACTCTCATGTCTTATCTGTGTCCGGTGTCGAGTATCGTTGTTAGTTGAACGAATTTTTATCTTGCCGTTATTTCTCGTTGATCATTTCGTGAAAAAGTTAATTATTTATACAATACCTTTTGTTTACATGAAGATACAACTATCGTCATGACGACCGCGTTGTATTTAGAGCATTATCTCGACAGTGAGTATTTGCATTGTTTGTACATACATTGTATACGTAGTACTAGCTTATTTTTTCAAATTCTTACATTAATTTTTTTTTTATTCTCCGAGAGAGATGAAAATACAGTAGAAAAATGTAGATCATCTCAAACGCGTTTTATTTTTTTTTTATTTACTTAATAAATCCTATTTTTTCCTCGCGTCTAACTTTTTCTATATCTTCTAAAATTTTTGTTTGTTTACATTGTGCGGAATTACGTTTATTTCTCAATAGAAGTTTGAAATTATAAAAGTACTTTCTGTTAGTGTCTGAATTGAAGGATTTGATATTTTTTATTAGATACCTAACCTAACTTTTTTAAAAATAAAAGTTGATTGAAAAGAAGAATAATTTGTAATATTTTTTTAACTCTTTTGAGAGATATAATTTTTATTATGTTTATATATAAGTCTAATTTATATGCATCAATTAAAGTTAATTTAATATTGAATTTAATTTTTGAGATAAATTAAACTGTATATTCAAAATTAGACTCTACTTCTCGTTAATTTTAGTAGTTTTCCTTGTAATTAAAGTCGTTTACACTCACTTTACTTGAAATAGATATATATATATATATATGAAATATTTGACAAAAGCAAAATATAAAATTTTATTGTAGTCCAGTGCAGTTAAAGAATTATTCTTTTAAATGTACTTACAAGCATATAACAAATATGCAAAATAGTTCTTTAGTTAGTATTGGCTGTATTTAGCAGAGAGAAAACTAATTAATTAATATTTAGTATGATTCTTTAATATGATTAATTCCTATACTTATGTTAGATCCAGCAAAAAACTAGAGGCAAAAATCAATCATATTAAAAAATTCTATCACTAAGTGCTAACTGATTAATTTTTTCGCTGAACATAGTTCACTGAACATGTCTAAAATCAATGTATAGGAAATCGAAAGTAGTTATCGTCAAAACGATAATTAGGTAGAAGGAATTAATTTGAATATTACATTATTATCTGAGAATTTTTTGACAGACTTAGTAAAATTTGATTTTGTAGTTTAATATAAATAGTTGCTAATATAAAAAAAGATTGTTTTTTGAAATTTAACAAAGAGGTTATTTTTGTAGAAAATATAAGTACTATTAAAAATTAATATTTTCAAGTAAGTAATCACTACTATTTTACTTCAAAATTTTCAGTTTGAACTATTATAAAAGTAAAAGTATTGAAGTATATATTTAAAAACATTATTTTTATCTTATTTAACCATTATTAGCAATTCTTAATCTAACATTAACAATTGTATTATTAAAAAGTGCTAAAAAACAATTCAATGTTTCTAAGATCATTTGAATCACTATTATGATTACTCATAAGGCAAAAAAAATCGCTTCTATGCACACTTTCATGATAATTTACAATATGTATTGATAGCTCAAATGAATTTTTCAATCTTATAAACAATTACAATGGCGACTAAATGACTTCAGGAAGTTTGATTGCCTTTGGCATGTTTTGATAATATAATTGCCATGTTATATTAAGCATTGCTAACAATTAAATAAAATATATTTTTAAATACTTAAACATTTTTATTTTTATAATTGTTCAAACTATTGCATAAAATAGAAGTGGAACAGTAATAACTTAAGGGTCCTCTACATAGATGGTCGTGGAGTCTTAAGTTGTAGGAAACCAACCAATCACAATCAAATGTAAGGGTATAACTCGATTAGAATCAATTTCCTACGACTTAAGATTCCACGACCATCTACGACTTCTGTAGAGGATCCTTTACTTATAAAAATATTGATTTTTAATGCCACTGATGTTCTCTCTCTCTCTCTCTCTCTCTCTCTCTCTCTCTAAAATGATTTTATTTAATTTTATCTAATTTTAAAACAATTTTTTTTTGTTATCGACTATTTATAAGCTACAGAAATGCTTCTATTGACTAAAAAATTCTCAGATAATAATGCAATATTCAAATTAATTCTGTATAGTTATAGATTTGGAGATGAACACATACATTTGATTCCCTTATGTGCGTTACAGGTCTCGAGCATTTGCCAATTGAATTACAAAGGAATTTTACACTAATGCGTGACTTAGATGCTAGAGCGCAAGGTCTTATGAAAGATATCGATAAACTAGCAGATGATTATTTGAGGAATATGAAGAAGGAATTACCAGAAAAGAAAAAAGAACAACTCGCTCATATACAAAGTCTCTTTAACAAGGCTAAGGAATATGGAGATGACAAGGTCCAACTAGCTATCCAAACTTACGAATTAGTCGACAAGCACATCAGACGACTGGATTCAGATCTGGCAAGATTTGAGGCAGAGATACAGGACAAAACATTAAACAGTAATAGAGCACAGGAGGAGAGCAATGCTAGCAAAAAGGGTAGGAAGAAACTCAAGGAGAAGGAGAAGAGGAAAAAGGGTACGGTAGTTAGCAGTGAGGATGAAGCTAAGAATGCAAGAAAGAAACAGAAGAAAGGTATGTTAATTAAGTTATACAATTGTAACTTGCTATAATTTCATAAATTTTTAAATCCATTACGTCTTATTATAAATGTATATATTTTCATATCAGGTGGCTCAGTAGCTTCAGCATCGTCCACTGGTGTTGTGGGAAGTGGCGCCCAGGTAGATGCAACAGCACTCGGCCATCCAGCCGACGTTCTTGACATGCCTGTCGATCCTAACGAACCGACTTACTGTCTTTGTCATCAAGTATCATATGGAGAAATGATTGGTTGTGATAATCCAGATGTAAGTTTTGTTTAAATCTTTTTACTGCCATATCTATTAGACATTAAACGAATGAAACTTTATTTTTTTTTAATGAATTTTTTTTCAATTTTCATTTTAATTCTCGATGCCACAGGACAAGATAATTAATTCTTTTTTTCTTTTTTATTTTAGTGCCCTATAGAATGGTTCCACTTCGCCTGTGTGGGGTTAACAACAAAACCTAAAGGAAAATGGTATTGTCCCAAATGTACGCAAGATCGCAAAAAGAAATAAATGGAAATGATTATCACCTATTTGAAGAAAAAATTAGTGCAAAACTGTTTCATATTGAAAGTAAATCACCTTTTGTATAAAAGGACGATAGAAAATTTATAAGAGATGTAAAGAAAGAGAGGGGGAGAGAGAGAGAGAGAGAGAGAGAGAGAGAGAGAGAGAGAGAGAGAGAGAGCGAGAGCTGCATTTCCATTTGCATCTAATATTAATAACGAGGCAATTCTTTTATTTTTACGTGACCCGTATAATAATAAATATGACACGCAATCACATATTCACTTATCGTTATAATAATGTCTATAAATAATTTCTTCAGAAATAATTATTGTAATAAATTAAATTTCCTTTTATCACCATAGAATTACATTACGGGTTTTTTTTCTATATAAAAAGGAGTCTTAAAAAATTAACATAATGTCATGGTTTATTTCGAGCTATAATTGAATTAACTTAAAATTAATATAATTAACAAACATTTCGGCTTAAAAAGTCTTCAGTGTTACAACACAGAAATACAATCTTAAATTAACGAATAAAGAAAACGGATACAATGAAAATTTAAAAATCATAAATGATGAAGTGTCATAATATAAAAAAATATAAAATATAAAAAAAATTTGAACGTCAATAAGTATCCCGCCAGATGAAAATTTTTCAAACGAGCAACAATCTTCTTTATTGTACTTAACCGGATCTTTGAGAGTTTATTCAATTATAGCTCGAAATAAGCCATGACATTGTATTAATTTTTTAAGAAAATATACGAGCATTTTTTATTCCATTTTAAAAGGAGTCTATTGAAGCGACTATAATTTGTATATATAATGAGATTAAGATCTCATTTTTTAATGTGTCAAATGGATGATACATAAATGACATTTTATTATTGATTCAAATATCATAGATGAATTTTTATTATTAATTTTAGATGTAATGGAAGCGCAGTTCGAATGTAAACCCATCACAGATGGAAAACGTTTTGAGAATCGGCCATCGTCTCGCTATCGCTTCACAACACATTCTCTTTATATATTATATATTAAAATAGTAACTTATTATTGATAATGCAAATCGCGCTTTACATTTTCGATGGCTGTTTCTTGAATATATCTGTGATTTCACTCGATGAGACTATTATATTTATCGACTTACAATTTTAATTAGTATATTAAATTAACGTTATTGTTTTTACATGTTAAGAAACAACGCTTTATACACATGAAGTAAACTCCTGTTGATGATGAAAAATGTATTATAAACGAAGTATGGCAATATGATTAAAAAAAATATATTTAGTTCATCGAAACTTATTTTGTCTACTTTCTATGTCTACCTTTTCATTGCTAAATATTTACAAAATATATTTACAAACGTTTTCAATTAATTACTTAATAGCGCTATCGTACAATTATGCTCGAGTAATGAATAAAATCCAGATTTGAAGTTGCTTCAATTCTTTCGACGAAATGTCGCGAAGTCTGTTCGCTACAAACTTTCGCAACTTTCTTCAATAATATTGTTTGAATTGCTTATTCTTAAAAATATTTTTTAAGGCTATATTTTTATAGCATTTTGTATCAATATATCCTAATGAAGATATAAGTCAGAACATAAATAGAAGGTTTATAAATATTGTAGAAGCCGTTACAAATGTATATGAGATAAACATGTTTTCTGAGCAAATATTAAAAACGCGACTAGAACGTTGCAGAAATCTCCTTGTCGGGAAGAGATTAAGGGATACCGGATTGTCTGTTGCAGCACTGACTGGGTGGTACGGTCCAATTATACTGATAACTCATGCGATTCCTAAATTCTTTAGGACACAGTGCGCCTAAGGAGGCCTGGTAATAGTCGTGCATACTCAGCATATTCTGGACCGTAAGTTTGTGCGTAATTATATACTGATTGGAACAACCACGTGATCTGTATTCCGTATCGAAGCGTACGTCGTGCTTCCTCTCAATGTTCGCCAGTGGTGCAAGCCAGAGGCCGACGGAGACATCTTCGGAATTGTGTAATCTAGGATTATGCAGGTGCATGAGTTTGAAAGAAAAATAGCACAGAAAGAATTAATTAAGACTAAGATGTAAAGCTTGTGAAAAATTTTGTTAGAATTCTTTATATAATTTTTCAAAATAATTTTAATAATTTAGAAAATTTCTCAGATTTTTTTTATACGAATTGATATATTTTTTATGAATTGTGAAATATTGAAAATATATAAGACTTTATAATTTCTGAAGACAATTTCGCTTGTAAACTCTAAAAAAGTTTAAAATATTTTTGCAGAAATTTTCATAAGTTTAAAATATGACAAATTCTTAAAAATATGAGAAAACTATACATCAAAGTTAAATACAGAAAATTTTGTACATGATTCGCAGCCATACTCACTTAAGAATGTCTGCATTCTTAGCAATAAACTCGACGAGATTGTAAGACAGAACGTATCCGCCACCTACGGCATAAGGAAGATAATAATCACACAGGATCCAATCGGTTTCCTTCCAGGGACCGCTCCTCTTCACTTGTGCTCGTCCATTGAAGAAGCCCCAATAGAGTTCTCGCTTAGTGCCTTTGCTCTGCCACTTGTCGAGCTCCTTCAGGATCTTATGCACCAGCACATATGAGTCATCGTCGCATTTCAGCAGGTAGTCAAAGTCGTAATGCTCGTGGACGGCTTTCAGGGTATGGAGAACCTTATAGTAACAATAACAACAATAATAATTATTATATATTGTTGAGTAGAATGATTGACAATTAGAAATCAATAAATCAATTAAATATTGTACAAAGAAGTAGTGATTATAATTAAATAAGAGAATCCTCCTATATTCAGTCAAAGCGGGTCTTGTTAATGCTTAAATATTTCTGTGTGAATTTAAAAACATATCTGATTGTACAACATGCGCCCCGAATTCTTATTTAATTAAATTTACTTTTATTAATCTTTAAATTCGTATAATATTGTTTATCACGCATCTTCTTGAAATATAATGCTCGTTTACTAGTTATTGATTATTGCGATAAATGTTGCTGAAATTTTGGTGGTCGAATTGGTATGTCATTTTTTTTCCATCCTAAAAAGTCGGAAATTTCAAGTTCACACAAACTCTGGCTGAGATAACATTTTTCGTAATAAAATTATTTGCAGATATAAGATTCTCATTAATCTAATCTAATGATTAATATTCTTATAAAGATGCTTATTTACATCAAAAATCATTAAATTACTTGTCAAGAGTAGTGTAGTAATTATTATAATATTACTACTCTAATTCTACTCATGATTGCATTAAAAGATCGAAAAAGATTTCGTAGATTGCAGAATTAAATATGTCCTTATATAAATTCGCACAGAAATATTTCAGCGCTAAAATCCATTTTGACCGAATATAGGAGTTCTCTTATTTAATTAGATTTGTTCTCATCGATCCTTACATTTGTATCATCATGACATAAATAATGATTATATGTTACAAATTATGATTATTACGTAAGTAATAAATAATATATCACAGTTATAATACAAAGTTTGGTTATCAATCGTGATTATCAGACGTGATATCAGACGTAAAATTATAGCCCTATAGAAACAAAGCTCTACCTGATATAGACATATACAAAGTGATTTTAACATATTTCGTCACTCATCATGAACAGGTAGAGTGAATCGAACTGAGTCGAAAATCATCTACCATTTTGCAGTTTACGCAATAGTTAACGAGATATTAATTGCTAAAAATTGCCAAATATTGGTCTTGAATAATTTTTTTACATAATTTTTAAATACTATCAACTTTATAGAAAAACTGCAAGAGACAAAAATCATTTATTTTCTTCTCTAAAGAACTCTAAAAATTTTTTCAGAATTTTGCATCAACTTTTTAGTTGCATTTTCTTATTTTTACCAAAATGAGAAAATATAATATTAAAAAATTCTGAAAAAATTCTCAGAACTTTATGAGAAGAAAATAAATGATTTTTGTCTCTTGCAACTTTTCTATAAAGTTGATTGTATTTGAGTAAAAAATTATTCAAGATCAATATTTGGTAATTTTTACTAATTAATATTTTATTAACTATTGCGAAAATTGCAAAATGGTAGAGGACTTTTCGACTCAGTTCGATTCACTCTACCTGCTCATAATGAATAACGAAATATGTTAAAATCACCCTGTATAAGATATACAATAATTAATAGAATACCACACGATATTGGCTGTTACAAACTGTTACCTTCTTCGTTAGCATGCTGTAAGAGTCTTGCAGTCTGGGCAACAGTAACAGATCATCGAACTTCTGTTTCTCTGATTGCAGAGTATTCCTCTGTTCGGGTAGGATGTCCTGGGTGCCGATGACAAAGAAGTGCTTCACCGTGGCATCGTGCTCGGCCAGCCAGGTCTTCCTGATGGTGTTACGGCGTTCCAGGTTGTCCGGGCTGCTTAGAATCAGGGCAATCAACCGGTGCTTGAGCTTGCTTCCTGGAGTCTGTCGATTCGATTGACATTCCCGCTCGGGCAAGTAGCGCAGGCACAGGAAGACAAAGACTACCGCGAACAGGAACGCGAGGACGTTTGCCCGGGCGATGAACCTCCGCCGCATGATCGACTGGAGTTTAGGCATGAAATCGAGTCGCAAATATGTCATGAGTCAGTTTTGGGAGCGCCGTGGGAAGAAACCACGAGAGCACGTCTGTCAAATTTCTCCTCGCAAATTCGTACAACCAAACCTCTTCTCACTCGAAGGTAGCACGGCTAGTAATAATTCGCTTTCCGATTCTTTCTCAGATCTCCAACCTTTTGCAAGTAAATCGAATAAACACAAATTCTGTTGAATAAATACAAAACTTTGTTAATAATTATTACCTATTAATCTGGTTAGTTTCGTCAGAAACTATTATAATTTTCAAGATTTTAACATCCGCACTTGATGAATTCTTCACGCTTCTGCAATCCCCCTGACAGACTCTTTACAGATTCGCACGGCCAGTGATGTAACTGGAACACCTTCGATCTCGGAATTGCGATATAAATTGCATACGCGTGTAGATGTAATTCAAAAATATAGAATAAATATCAAAAGAAGACCGAGTCTGTCGACTTTAATTACGCTTCTCGCGCTTCGTCTCCGTTTGCATTATAATCTTCAGCCTTCGATGATATTTCCGTGAGAAATGTGACCACCGTGACTATGAAGTATCGGCTGTCTCGTTTGGCAATGATGAGACAATTCCGAAATCCATAATATAAATTCTCGACCCGCAACAACTACAAACGTCAATGATCAGTTGCATTCTGCGAATCAGCTGATCGGTGCAACTCCGAGCAGGCAGGGAGGCAGGTCGGATTAGGATTGGGTTAGGTTAGGTTAAGTTAGGATATTGACATACGACACGTGCGACGTGCAACGTGCGATGTGCAACATGCGACAGCAAGCGTTCAAGATAGATAAACATTTATATTTTATATATTTATGTATTCGGAAAATACAGCGTATTTAAAATATGAAGTAAATCAAGAGAGTCTTGTGAACTCTTAAATTCCCCTAATTACATGTATTAATTATATAACGGTTCAGATTATTAATTAACACAGAGTCCGAAAAGAATTCTTTTTTTATTCCCGATTTACGAAATGAATTCTTATTTCGTCCCATTTTCTGTTCAAAATGTTTTTGAGAATTAATTCTTTATTTCTTAATTTTGTAAGAATAAATTATATTTTGGTTTTTACTTCGGTTTTTACGTAAATTAAATAGTACTTTTATTAAAAGTAACGTAGAAATATGCATAATAAATATATTTAAGATGAATTATTTTCGAATTGAAATGAATTAGTTCAGTCGTGCTGTCTGAATATTAATTAATATTCCAAAAATAAATATTAGAATTCCCATATGTGTGAAATATTTTAAGATTTTTTATTCTATAATTTCTAAAAAAATAACTTTTTTCAGATTTGACAAGATTTTATCAGAAATCATATAGGATGAAAAATTTTAGAAATTTTATTTTAATATACCTCAGAATTCATATACTGTGTTCCTCGAATCGGTCATCACTTTATGTATTTCGACAATTGTTTTTATGGTTGTATTCGAAAATTTACCGTCAGTATTGAAAATTTAAAATTTACGTCACGTGCATTACAGATTTTCAGCACTGGCAGTTATTAGAACACAGTCTACATATATATGTTTTCTACAGTCATGTTTGCATGTAATAAACTGCAGATTTTATATACAATCTATAAGATCTATCTATAATAATTAAATTATCTTAGAATAGAATAATTAATCTAACAATCTGATATATACTGCTATATCGATGAATTCATTTTTTTTTATATATTAGGTGTTGGAATTAATTCGTAGCGTTTTTTAATGAAAGAATGTTATTTATTTCACATGAGCATTAAAAAATACATTAATGAAAGTACTTCCCATCACTTGTAAAACGCTACAAATTAATTCCAACACCTAATACTATAAAAATATGGAAAGAAAAATATTGTATGATTTTAATTTTAAAAAATTTGACGATTTTTGGGGTTAAAAAATGAACAATTTTAACTTTTTTCTTACCCAATTAATTCTTCATTAAAAATAACAAATTTTGGTTAAAAACATTTTATCATCAACCCAGAAGTAACTCAAAAATCATTGCAACCGATTCGAGGAACACTTGCACACAATTTGTACAAAGAATTAAAAAAAATTTCTAAAAAGTTATAAAATTTATGTTACATACATTCTGAAAATTTTGAAATTAAAAAAATCCAAAAAAATTAGGTGAAAAAAATTCTAAGAAAAATTTTTATCAAAGTAGACGTAAGATCCGCTGATGACCATTCTGTTGTTATTTATCTTTGTGTTGTGCTTTTAAATTCCTTTTCTCTTTCATTTTTTTCGAGGCGTAAAAGGAAATAATTTTATGTATCTGTATTTAAAAAAATTTTGAATTTACGACATTAAAGCGAAACATTCCACAAAGTGGAAACTCGTAAACTGCTTCTGCAGTATTTACCATCTGCGGTTTCGAATTCAGGAAGCTCCACAAAGTTTACATCTCATGTGGAATTCTTGTTTGAAGATTTAGCGTTCGAAGAATTTGTTTGTGAAGAACATAATTTATTGCTGGAAATCTAATAATGGAAACGTTTGCTCGGAAACATAAAACAACTAAACTTTTGACAAGACTCACGAAGGAATTTTTTCTTTTCGTCATTAAGTACCATTACCCGTTCTCGGCTGCCGCAGTCCGCAGCTTCTCTTTACATAGTCACCGTAGACTCGCGATGAAATAAAGTACAATAGTTCTCATTGGCAAAACGACGTTTGATATTGATACAAATAAATTATTGTTTTTTTTTCCTCTTGATACACATTTATAATCGTTACGTACAACACACTCGATTTGGCACTGTTTTAGTCACGTTACGTGATGAATCCCGATCCTGATATGAAATTCTTGAGTTGCAAGTTCGGTATTGTGATTCGGAAACACAGATTTCGATGTGACCAATGCGTTCTCCGGATAAGGCACATAGTGAGGTGCGCAAGCTATGTCAAATCGAAACGAAACTCGATGCCGGTGAAAACGTAGTGCAGAAGTTCAGAAGTGCTATCGGGATATAGTGCCATCAAATACAACTATCTGTAAAAATCTACTTAAGCTAGCGTACGATTATCATCTGCGGCTTAAAAGTAATTATATTTACTCCTCGCTTAATTAAACCACACAGTTGACTCTTAGTACAAAGAATATGTATATAATCATCACATGTATATCAACAGATTTGTATTTCGATTATTACTACAACTGATTTTACTCAACAATCTTGTGTCGCAGATTTAGCATTGCGCGCGTATGTGTGTATGCGTTTTATGTGTGTAATTGCAATATGGCAAAGGAAATGTGAAGTCGCATGCGAATTTTCCATTGTTAAAAATCCTATTCGTTAACAATAATTCAATAGCGAAATTTCACGAAAATAGTATATATATAGATATATATATATATATATTTTTTTGCAGAATAATGGAAACTACGGTATATGTCCTTTACCATATACTTTGATGCGACCAACGCTGCAGTTTGTAAAAAAATTCGATAAAATACAGAATCACATTATTATAACAGCATATTCTTTTTACGTTTTGATTTCATTTCTAACTGTGGTATACACATACATCGCAAATAGAATTACTATTCATCTCTGTAGAATATAATGAAATTTAAAATATGTCTCATAAGCTTCATTAAAAAAATTGATTTTAAAAATATTTTAAAAAATTTCATTAAAAAAATATTATATACTTAGATAATCTGTAAGAATGACAAAAGACAATATAACGTGAAGATATATGTATATTTTCATGATTTATAAAAAATACAAGAAAATGTTGTAATTGATGATCTAAACATACTGTGATATCACTTTTTCCATTTATTTTTCATTTTGCCATGTTTACGTGATTCTGATTTTATCCATTTTAAGAAGTATTTTACAAAAAGATTAATTTAAAAATTTTCGAGACGTACGAAGTAAAAATTTTTCGATCAACTCCTTTCTTTCTCGTTACGTCTAAAACTGTGAAAATATTAATTTGCTCTCTATAAGTCTATTTAATTAAGTACAAAAGAGTTTTATTTCAACATTGCCTATCTTTTTTTTCCTAGTATGAGGCATATATATACATATAAACGTATATATGTATACATATATACATATACATATATTTAGCAGCTAATCTGTATATAATACATAAACATGATGACTCTGTGTAGCATATTCAATTGATTTCTTTATGTAACTAAAGTCTTGCTATTCAAGAGAAACTGCTTATATTTTGAACGAATAAATTAAACTGTCAAGCATTTTCTCTTTCTCTCTCTCTCTCTCCCTCTCTCTAGATCTTCTAAGTTTGTTCTTATTTATACGAAATTTCGCATTTCGCAAGCTTTATCCCGTTTGATGTATTACAAAGAAAAAAAGAAAGAAAAAAATGATCAATCGAATACTAATATTTACATAACAGACGCAATACGAATGATACAATTCGGTTATGTAAAACTACAGCCATTATTGATTAGAGTAAGTGTATACCCTTAAGCCAGTACATGGATGATAATGTTTTTATGTATTCGCCACGTTCGATTGTCCTCATGACATTGACAATGTTATCAGACACACTTGAGCAGTTCATTACTACCGATGTGTTGTAATAAATGTGTTTTTCGAATATCTACGTCAGTGCTCGCAAAGATTTGTACATTTCGGGCCGATTCCGACGAGCGACCTTAACTACCACTCGAACCTCGGACGTTCTGGGTCAGGAGCGTCTCTGTAACTTAAACGTATTTTAGTTCTTACGTTTATTAAAGAATATTTTTCTTGCAAAATAATTATTTTCTTAAAAAAATCAAATACTAAATTTTCTGAAACATTTTGTCATAATAATTCTTGCCTACTAGAATCTATTCAATAATTGTTATAAATTTACATCGAGAAGTTTCTATATCGTCTTTATGTAATTGTTTAACATTTTTTTTTAAACAATTACATAAAAACGGTATTACGTTAAAGAGAATATTAATAATTAATCGTTAGCCAAGAATTTAAAATGATAAAATTATATCCGCTAGAAAAAAATAGTTATTGCGATATAGAATCCTTGTTACTTGAGACTTTGTAAGACTTCGTATGGAAAACACGGAATTTTTAGATCATGTGTATTTCCTGTCTTCAATCTTCGCAAATCTGTTGTAGAAACTTCTCGATGTAAATTTATAACAATTATTGAATGGTTTCTGGTAGACTTGTTTGTCGTTCACGCGTGACGGTCAATAAAGAATATTTAGATAGTGCAGCTGAGTCACCGTCTAACGACTATAAATTCGAGCAAGAGAATACCAGGATGAATGAAGCTATATTGCTCCTTCGCCAAATTGGTATTTGAGCAATATCCTTGCTTGCTCTAGACATGGAACTGTGGCATGGGGCGCGAGGCACTTTGTCGTCATTGCCAGGCAGAAAGAAGACAATGTTATGCAGTATTCTGTAATCAAGGATTATTTTAAAGACAAAGTAACTGCATTTTGTCCTAAATTTGATAATCCAGACAGTCCAGAGCTGTTAATCTGTGGCGGTGATGATTCCAAAGCTAGAGTTTGGAATGTGGATACGTTGAAGTTGGTAGCGGAATTTGCTTTTGTCGATGGAAGCAAATTGATTGTGGGAGTTGACTGGTCAGTCAAAGATGGAAATCTTGCGTGTGCAGTGAATTTGGAGGGTTTAATGTACTGTAATATACAGTATAAGACTTCGAAAATAGTATCTCTAGGCAAGCTAACTGCTACATGTGTAACTTGTTGTCCCCATGACTCTAGTCTTGTAGCAATAGGTACTAAAAGCGGACTAGTTTATATTGTTTAAAAAGATACAATATTATATAGAATGAGAGGACACAATGAGGACATAGTTAGTTTATCTTGGTGTCCTTCAGACATGAATGTTTTAAATGGAGGAAATAGGAGAGATTTACTTTTAGCTTCTGGTGCAAAAGATAGATCTGTATTCATTTGGAGAGCCGGTAGAGATGGTAGATATGAGACTGTATTAAATATACCAAATACGCCTATGGCTGTCTCATATAAAAGCAAGCTCAACACTCCAAATGGAACCTGGATTGCAATATGTTGGGCAGAGCCCAATTTGCTTTTAACTAGTTCTCTTTGGGGCGAACTTCTTTCTTGGGAATTTTCAATGGACAGAGATAAATCCAAGTATAAATTGTTCCATACATTCCATAATAGAGGATTATTTTCGATAGCTGCTACACCCAATTACGATGGAATATCTGATGACTTGAAAACAAATTCCGAGCTCAGGGTCTGGTCTTTAGCACAAGATCGCTGGGTTATATGTAGCAAATATAACAGTAGGCAAGAATTATTATGACAAAACGTGTTAGTTATTCTAGAAACTTCTCGATGTAAATTTATAACAATTATTGAATAGTTTCTGGAAGAATTATTATAACAAACTGTTTTAGAAAATTTAATATTTGATTTTTTTAAGAAAATAAAAATTATTTTGCAAGAAAAATATTCTTTAATAACATAAGGTACGCACGTTTAAGTTGCAGAGATGCTTCTGAGCCAGAGCGTCACATGAGCGCTCGGCGAGCCTCGAGCGGTAGTGGAGGTAGCGTGCCGGAATCAGCCCGAAATGTGCAAATCTTTGCGAGCACTGATCTACGCCTTGCAATCAACTATATATTAGAATCTGAAAGAAGCGAAAATATCAAAAGCTAAGACCCCTGCTGACAAACATTTATTGATCAGATTAATTTACGTTTTGTAGAGATGGAAAGGAACGCATTACTTGTAATGCCGTTATTTTTATTATCGTTATTTTTTTATAATAAATGATTTGATAATGACGTTACAATTATTCTTGTGAGTAACGCCAAACTTGGAAACAATCATTTTTATTGAGTTTTTAGAAGTGATCCGTTATTGTTATTCATTATTCATTGAAAAAAATAACTCGGTACTTTAATTGTTACATAATGAGCAACGCATTAGTAACATGTTTTACTCGATACGTAACGAGTAAAGTAATGAGTTACTGATACACTTTTTTTAATAAGTAATGCGTAATGTGTGCAGTAACGAGTTATTTTTTAAAAGTGACTTTTCTAATGACGCTATCATTACCATTATGAGTGTAATTGTAATGTTATTTACAATTTATTATTATTAAACCGTTATTATAAGAAAGCAATAGTAACGGTAACGACATTACAAGCAACTCCTATGTTTTTATATGTTTGCATGTGCCGAGACTTTCTTTTTACTATCTAGAGTTTATCCTAAAATAGCTTGAGAAATAGTATTTAGCCGATTCATTAGCTTTTGATACTCTCTGGATCTTGGCGAATGTATCAATTAAGAACATTAGCCCGAGAATTCAGAACGCAATTGAGATTTTTATTCAGTGATGGAGATCTGAGCAAATCCTATTAACGCCTTGTCATCTGGTATTTCGTTCATCGCATAACCAGTGTTCTGTAATAACAATGAGAAGAGATAATCGTATATTTAATAAATATAATCAAATTAAGTGATAAAAACACATTTTGAATTATTATACATATATGTAATATTTAAATATACAATTTTTACATCTGATAATTAAAAGTAACATGAAGACTATTTACCAAGGAAAATGTCACTGTTCGCAATTGTCCTCCACTCTCTATCAATTTTTTTAGATTGGTTTCTATCACTACAATGTCCTTGCCGTCAACCAAGCCCGCAGCAACTAATTCCGCTGCGATACCTTGTGCAGAGTCAACTCCAACAGTAAAATCGAACCTAATATCATTTAGCTCCCGTTTTTCATTTCTGAAAAAAGTATTTTCAGATGATCATCTCATTTTAAAAATGCATTAGATACTGAGGTTGTTATCATCTATAAAAAATGTATAAGTATATGAAAATAATATTTTCATTTGAATTTCACATACCGTAATCTAAGCACCAAGTTTATAGGCGTATTTTGTCCGGTTTCTGGCAAAGCCATTTGGCTCGGTGCTACCCTAATTTGACCATAAAATTCGTCAGGCTCGCCAGCTTCTTCGTCGCTGCTGGTCTTTTCGATTGTGTTGACCGGTAACGTTTCTTTGCACTCATCACTGCTCGAGTCACCGTTGTTTTCTTCTTCCGACCAGACCCATTCTCCGGTCACCGTTCGATGCAAACGACCCGACGTGCCAGGTTGTCTTTTTGACGCCTACAAAAGAAAATTTTTCTTAATATTTCTTAACAACGCTTAAATACAATTTTTCAACTAATTTTAATTTTTGCAAAAGCTGAATAAAAAATAATTAAGTAAACGTATAAATTTGTATATATTGCTTAGTTGATAATAAAATATACCTTTTGTACACGTGTTTCTAAACTGGGTCCAATCGCAACTAACGTTTGCTGTAGATATTTTTTATCTTTGGCTTTTTTAAAAAAGGGATGTTTTAACAACTCAGTAGCTGTTGGTCTAAAAAAGTATACCCATTATTATTTGTAATATACATATTTTACAATTTTACACTCATTTCTATTCTTAATTTTTCTATTTAACAATCTATACTATAAACCATATTATGATAATATCATTTTCAAGTAAGTCGAAGACATCTAACATATTACCCATTTGCTCCAACTATTCTAACTATTTCGGCAAATAGAAGTAGCAATGCAAATGAAATAGTAGGATCCTTACCTCTTAGTAGGATCTTTCTGTAAACAGTCGACAATCATTTTTCGGAATGTTTTTCCGTATGCTTTGTATTGGTCCTTGTCATCCGCAGCGGTATCCAAAGTCGGCGGATCGTTTTGCAGCGTCAGCATCAAGACCTTCATCGGGGGATATTTGTGATACGGCGCCGTGCCGCTTGCCATCTCGATCGCCGTGATGCCAAGTGACCATATATCGGCTTTAAAATCGTAGCCATGGTCCTGCACAAACAGATACGCATATCATAATTGATTCTACAGTAGATAGTACATGTGAGATTGCCAATATCTCATGAAATCGTGCTTGCAAAAGTCACATGCTTGCCAGAACCTTCTGAATGTGATTTATAACTGCAGTCATATACAGGGTGACTCGTCATATCGGAAAATATATTTTTGTATTTGATATCGATTTTTCCATTGACATAGCTATTATCTAACTTTATTCAGCAAAAAGCATCTTTGCTAACTTTCAAAAAGTCTTTTTATCATTTTATATATATATATACGAAAAGTCCTCTACCACTTTGCAATTTTCGCAATAGTTAACAAGAGATTAATTACTAAAAATTGCTAAATCTTGAATAATTTTTTACTCAAATACTTTATAGAAAAACTGCAAGAGACAAAAATCACTTATTTTCTTCTCATAAAGTTCTGAGAATTTTTTCAGAATTTTTTAATATCGTATTTTCTCATGTTGGTAAAAATAAAAATAAATATTGCATAAATTGCAAAATGGTAGAGAACTTTTCGACTCAGTTTAGTTAGACACCCTATATATATATATATATAAAGCGTAAAACTTAAACTTTAAGCCTCAAGCCTAAAAAATTGACCAATTATAATGAAATGTGAGGAAAATAATCGACTATGATTGTCAATTTCTTATGGCTTAAGATTTAAAGTTTAAGTTTTACACCTTCACAAATCTTATTATAGATACTTTGCAACGTTATGCAAAAGTTTGTGCTGTGGCATTAACTGATTTGAGGAAACAAAACAAATAACGGACATGATACAGAAATATAAAGCAAAGTAAAATAATGGCGTGATTGATTGAAAAACTTTTCTGAAAATCTGCGTAACATAATATATCTTCAGTGCAATATTCTATGTGGCTACTTGCATAACATTCCTAACGCAGAGCATGCTCAACAAAATAGTATGATTGCTAATTTAAATTAATTCTTGGTTCAACGAGACGATAAAAGCATTTCCACATGTCGCACGCAACGGCAACCGACACTGATGCATTCAAGGTTCATGTGTCGTTTCAACGATAATGTATATAAGCGTATTTTGCCAGTCACAAACGTATGCCAGTCGTCAACGTACACATTTCCCACGTCCCAATAAAGTGTCGTGTACATTTAACAAACGCATACACAAATGTAGACACAAAGAACACGCAGGCTAAGAAGTCTGTAGTGTTACTTTCCTCTCTCACCTGCTCCATGACCTCGGGCGCCATCCAACAAGGCGTACCGACGAAGGTGTGCCGAACCTTCTGCCGACTCAAGTCACGTCCGGTCGCGAGCCACGCGCTGACACCAAAATCGGCGATCTGCACTGTGCCATCCTCGCCTAGTAGGATATTACCCGCTTTTATGTCCCTAATATTATTCTGCCGTTAAAATTTGTCTAGATACGTAGAGAAAATAAAAGAATTATATCTGTAGGATGTTTACTAAAATCTTACAAAAAAATTCCTCTTGAAAATTCCCGAATTTTCCAGATATTTTTATTTAAAATTCCAGGTGAGACTAGACAACTTTTTAATGCAACTTTCAAATAAACTGCAATATAAGCAAGATAAAAAAAAAACTATACATCGTAAATTAGTAAAAAATGGGGATTCTTTACAAAACTATATAAACAAAAAAAAAAGATATCAAAGAAATAATATTTTACATAGAAAAAACACAATTTTTGTAAGTAAAATTCCAAAACTTTCTCTTAATACTAATAAATTCTTAAAAATTCTTGATTTTCTTGATTTGAAAATAGAAAAGAAATTCCCTGAAAATTCCAGGTTTTTAGGCTTTTCAAAATATAATAAATACTTTGTATACAGCCCATTTGTATTTTTTAAATAATACAATTACACTCTAATGATTAAACAATGTAAATTGAAAAAAAGGAAATAGTTCTAAGATTGTAAATAAAAATAAAAATAACACGGGACAAGTGTATTTCATAATACCTGTGTATCTGTCCGTTACTGTGGAAATATTCAAGTCCCTTGAGTACTTCTCGAAGTACTGTAGCTATAGTGGCCTCATCGAATACTCCATGCTTGCAATTAGTGGTTCTGGTTTTATGCTTGATGATATCCAGCAGAGATCCACCTTCTAGCAATCTTAAGACCAACCAAAGTTCCTCTTTCACCACAAACGATGTGTAGTACGTCACGACGTTTTCGTGATTGCAAGAAGACATCGCCTGTATCTCTTTCTAATATTTCGCCATATAAAAAGTCTCGATTAACAATAACTTCTTATATAATAATAATAATAATAATAATAACTACTTGTCTGTAATCTTACATTTATAATCTGAGTCTTTTTTTCGCATCAAGCGAATTCAGTGTAAAATTTTTCCAAAGAGATAAAACAAGAATCCGAATCTCTTATTGCTAATCTAAATTATATATTTTTAACAAATTTTTATTCTTCCATATTTTACTGAAATTTTAATTTTTATTAAATTAAGGTTTTAATGTTTGAGTTAAAAAAATCAAGATTGCAGATGGAGGAAGTAAAACTTGAGATAGATAGATCAAGTAAAATAAAATTTACCAGTTTAACTTTATTCGTGAAAAAGGATTTATTCGAAGATAAATTTATCTCGAGATTACATTTTTGGAATAACATTTCGTTGAGATACGAATGATTAACAGCACCATTGTGTTCAATACGAAAAGCTTGCATCATGCTGGATGCAGCATACATTGTAATCGATAAGCTCGTTAATCCAATGAATCATACAATACATAAGTCTTATCAAAAAAGAGTTGCAGGTGTGTATCATATTGATTCGTTGCTGCGTGAAGTTCAATGTCAAGATTACAATAAAACTCACCAATAGCTCGTCCATGTTTGTATTCCATTTTTCCAAGTTTATTCGCTTGATCGCGCATTTTTCCTGTCGTGGAATGCAAAACGCCGCGTGCACTACAGCTGTCGCTCCAACTCCTTAAATTTTAATAAAAAGAAATCAATAAAAGGAATTGTTAAAAAAAGGACTTTGCACTAACCATATGAAAAAAAATGGTTTCAATCGAATTGGCTGAAACTGTAATATTTTGTAAATTATGAGATGATCAAAAGTTTTCTTATTGTTAGACAAAACTATCAAAAATAATCAGACTGTGCTCTAGAATCTAATGTCATTTGAAAGTTGCTATTTTGGATCTAATTGCACTGAAAAGTCTCTTTATCTACTAAACTATTCAACTTTTGACAACTATACTTCAATAAATCCTAATTAACTGTACTTTTATGCATAGAATAACATGAAATGAATCAATTAATGTAAAGTTGTTTAAAAAAAAAAGTATGTATCTTTTGTCAATTATAACTCATGTCATTATTTTATGCATAAAAGTATTAAGACACAATTACCAAAAAATAAATAGTAGATAAAGATAATTCTCAAACTAATTAAACTCAAAATAGGAATTTTCAAATAGCGTTAGAGCAAAATTTGTCCATTTTTTATGGTTTTGCTTCAGGAAATTTTCAATCAGTATCTTTTCACAGTTTCTGCCAATTCGATTAAAATCACTTTTTTCATATGATTAATGCGGAATCTTATGTCTTTTATTACTGTATTATATTATTATATCATTTATCCGACTTATCGACAAATCATAATATTTTATGAAATGCTTCCTTAATTAAACCTCGTTGAAATTTGGAAACTCGACTGTGCATCTATTTATAAATATATGCAGCGAATATATTTTAGAGTGCCTGAGAGACGTTTAAATTTTAAGCCTCGATATTTTTACTCGTTACGTAGGCAATTTATAATTTATAATTAATAAAAAATTTCGACGAATTTTTTACATGCTGTAAAATGTAGTTAAAAACGTTGTGACATTAACGTTGGCAAACCGCTAAATAATTTAACTCCGCTAACTTGCAGCTGGTCTTCTTACAAATATAATACACAATCGGCGAAACGGCAGGAAGAAATGTAAAGTTTTTCCAAGTTTTAAATGATTTAATAATATAAAAAGTTATATCATTCCAAATATTAATACTAGCGAATAATAGACATAAGTATTATATCAATCCTATTAATCCTATTATATCAAAACACTATTTAGTACCTAGTTCTGTCGCGAGGTTTCTGTCATCTCAAATAATCAAAACAAATCAACGAAAAACGACTTTTAATCAATGTCAAGATCATCATATCAATGTTGATTTGATATCAATTTGATGAGCTATTTCTCGCTGGAAATTCTTCACGGGAAGATTTTTTAAATATTTATGCGCTCCCAAAATATCTAGGTGTAAGATACACAGAAAAATACTGTACGCAGATAAGAATTACTTGTTTTAAAGATTTCAAAAGTTCATATATCTGCAAATGTATTATCATATATAAGTACATCACAATCATTCACACACATTCATCCAAAATATATTCTGAAAATCCTAGTTTAATATATATATCATTTTTCTCTTCCATGAATAGAATTTATTAATATTTTTCTATGCAGAATGTCTCATAAAAATTCATTGAAATTAATCAGTTGTTATTTTTAAACGCACATAGAAAATAACAAAGATAAAGTATGTTTTAAGACTCCTGAGTATACTTTACCTTAGCCATATTGAATCGTGACGTCATAAGCAAGAAATGTGTGATAACAACACTTGATTTTTCTGTATGCTCTTTACAGATAAAAACAAATTGAGTAAAATAGAATAATGAGATCGTTATAAGACATTTGTAAAAGTTGGCCGAGACTATTATTCCCCTGATAGTCAGTAAATAGTCGTAAAAGCCATGTAAAGTGCGTTTACTAATTTTTACCAAGTTTTTATTCAATACGTAGCCTATTTTTACTTCACGAATATTTTTCAACTATTTACTGACTGTCATGGAGGGGAGGGGTACGGATAGTTTCGACATTTTTACAAGTGTTTCGTAGCAATCTCGTTATTCCATTTTATCCAAATTGTTTTTATTTACAAATAACATGCAAAATTGAAAAATCAACATAATTTCTCGTTTACATCACAATTCAATATGGCTGAGGTGAGTACTCAGGAGCCTTAAAGTTCCGGAGTAGTCACTGTAACCATGTTGTATGTCATTTGTAAACAAAGAGAATTTGGGTAAAGCAAAATAATAAGATCGCTTTAAAAATAGATCAAAGTTATCTTTATTCCACTTGACAATTAATAAATATAGTCATAAAAGGCATGTACTCGTAAATTGTGTACTTTTATTTAATGCACATGCCTACTTTCATTTTACGTGCTTTTCATGACTATTTACTGACTGTCGAGGGGGGGGGGGGTTAAGGATAGCTTTGACTATATTTTTAAAAGTATTTTAAAGCGATCTCATCATCTTATTTTATCCAAATTCTTCTTATTTATAAATGGCATACAAAAAATTTCATGATGCTGCCAATATGGCTGCAGTGACTACTCAGGAGCCTTAATAGAGAACGTTTGGCAGTTTTATTTATATATAAAGATAATCGGAAATATATCTTTATCACTTGATAAACGTTTATAAATTGCCAATCTCAATGCTTATAGGAGAAGGTGGTATTATGGCCAGTGTATATATTGTGGCCTCCCTTAATATCTCCGCTATTATATAGCGAATCCTAATAATGATTACTTATAGAATTATTTGTTCAGTAGCTCGCCGTTACATCATGACGCTAATATATCAATACTAAATAGTTAGCACTTATTATAATGCAATTTTACTTTCAAGTATTTCGAAACGTTTCTAAGGTATATTTTAGTATTTAATTACACCTTCATTTTTTTTAACTTGAGCGTATTATGCGAATATATGTATGTATTTTTGATTGTGTTGTTTATTATTTAACATTTTATTTGACTATATATTTTGAGTTATGCAAATTTAAACAATAGCATGACATTTTGTTAATGTGGTTTTCTATGGGTACTGATTACGTGATCTTTTTTTGAGATTTTCGTATCAAAATAATTATTTGATAATTGATTGTAGCTCTATTGATAATCTATAGTTTATATTACGTGTACTATTTTTAGTATTGAACATCTTATATGCAGAAGTTATATGAATGTACATATATTAATTTGTATATATTCTAAAATGTTTTATTTTTTTGTTAATTTTGTGATCAAATACTGTTTTCTAAACAAAACTAATTTTTTGAGACTATTTTTATGGAAGGCCACATTATCACCCATGTTTTTCTTCGAGTCATTATGCAATGTCGCCACATTTTTATTAAAAGTGTCCTAAGTAATAAATATTTCATAACTTTGAATCCAGAATCGATTCAACAATATTTTAACGAATGTAATTGTTAAATTTTAAACTTAAATATTGATTATTAACCAAGTTATTGTGTAAAATGTAACTGGAGTGCCATAATATCATCTTCTCTGTATACGTTCAAAAATGACAGCTGATTAAGTGTCCCAAATATACTGGCAATTCAATTCTAAACTGCTTTTTTGATAATGTTTCACTCAAACCAAACTTTAATTTCATAATTAAAAAAAATTTAAATTTTCAAAATTTAAATTTTTATCCAACTCACGTTTATTCTTATCAAGAAATGCAATGAGAAGTACCTAGTTATGGAAATAAGTAATTTTAAATTAAAATTAACAGAAAGTGACATTCAAACTGTTTTAATAATATAGGCTTGAAAGTAAGTAACAAAAAGTAAGTATGCAAAATATTAAATAAATTATATATAGCTATAATATAATTATAGATGTTAGTAATACGTTCATGGTGTTGGTGCTGTTCTTAATACAGTCAACAATTTTACGAACATGAATTTAAATGTGAACATAATATACTGATATGATATTGTTGCATCCTCGATATCTTAACTTCCTCGCCATGTAGGTAATTGACTTAGTACTGTGTTTATTTAGATATCTAGACTCAAGTATAACATTCTTAAGTATCATCTTTAATAAAAGATACTTAATATAAAGGTAATTTAATTATTTATATATACCAAATACCTACTGTATAACATGCATGCATGAAATACGTAAGTACACAATACGTTTTATATCTATGTTAGATGATAGTACTTTCACATACATAGTAATAATTATGCGTATAATTAATTTCTTATTATATAGAATGTTTTATATTTCTATTTGTTGTCTAGATATTATTTACAGCACTCAGGCCAGTATTTATAGTCGTGTTTTAGATGGATATGCAAAACTATAATTCCGAAAAACTATAATCTCAAAAGCTGAAAACTAAGATAATGTTTCGAAATCTGAAATTACCGAAAATTAAGTAGTTTCAAAATCTCAAATGTGCGACAATGTCCTGAAATGTCAAGTTATCAAAATTTGAGATAACAATGTGTTCCGAAAAATAATAATTTCAAAAAATGTGTATTCAGAAGTATGAAAAATAGAAGTAAAATAGAATTATTAGATATCATGTATATGAAAAGATGTCTTTCTAACATAAAAATGTAATAAAATTTTTCACAATTTGGAATGTTTTATTCGGGAGGCATGGTAGTGTCTCAGCACTAAGAGAACGCAAGATCGTCTTAAGTATGATCTTAAGATATTATAAGCCAATCACAAAGCCGTGTTAGTATCTTTAAGCATTACTTAAGAACCGATCTAAGAATAGTAGCACATTGTAAAACATTAAAATGTTTTATCATACATTTCAATTTTATCCAAAATTAGATTTTCATAGAAGGATATATCCCATTGTCAAAATTATTAAAATAAACCCAAATAACGTAAATAAAAATTTGTTAATACAATATTTCGACAATACTTATGATTGATTTGTGATATACTTATTTTTTTTTAGAATTAGATGAAATAGAAGGGTTTATATTTATTTTTAATTTAATCTCTGTTGAGTTGTTTTTATTATTTTAGATTAACTTTAATTTAGATTAATATCTGTCAGAAAAGAGACCAATGATACGATCATTCGATTGCTAGAAAAAAAGGCAAGGGAATGTTGGAATTGTCGATATTAAGCTGGAATCAGACTATACATTGAAGATTGAAATTTGATCAATAAAGACAAAGAAATGTTAGCTCTTTTCTTTTCATTGGTCAAATTTCAATCTTTCAATGTTCATTCTCAATCTTCACATGTAGTCTGATATCGACCTTAGGACCTTGATCTCGGTAACTATTAAATTTAATACAAGATAAATTACATTTATTGAGAAAAATAAATTTTTTTTAATCATAAATTTTATAGATTTTTTGTTAAATTGAAGCTACAAAAAAGTAAAAAAACTTTGATCAATTAAAGTGTTATCAGTCAGATATATATACTCAAAGTTTAAAAATTTCTTAATGTATCAATAAGTGGATTTATATTCTATAACTCAACAATTCTGTTATTGACTATATTCAGCAGAAAAAGCAGTTTCACAACTGTTGTAAAATTTTTCAATACGATTGATTTATACATTTAGATGCATAAGGAATTAATAATGCAAGAAGTAATCATATTAAAGAATTTTACAACAGTTGCAAAACTGATTTCTCTGAACACGCAATACATTATTTTTTAGTTGCTCGCAAAAAGAACAAAAACTTAAAGAAAAAATATAATTTTAAATAGAAATAATTTGAAACGTACATACTTTTATTCCTTTACATTACAATTTGATACAATCAGTTATTGTATCAAAATTATATTTCAAAATTACAATTACAAAATTTTAATGATTTAAGACATTTAAACTCATTTTTTTGAAAAACTCTGCCGAGTTCTGTTCAGTGTGTAGCTGTAGCAAATTGATTGCCAGAATTATTACATTCGTGAATCGAAAGACAAATTTGTTTTGCCAAAATAATATCGTTCGTTCGTTGTATTTCTTTCCAGTAAATTTCTTTCAAGTTACAACTAAGTACGAGCATTTAGACTATCGGAAAATGTATAATTAAAGACGATTTCCTTTGGATAGAGTAACTCGAAATTCTTTGGATTAACATCAATATATAGAAAAATGAAAAACAATTATTAGATAACGAGCGTTCTTACATTACAATTAGACATGTTTAAGAAAATAATACTTAGAGTAATCGCCCATTGCGTGAAAAATAATGTATGAAATTTTTATATACTGAAGATGGCCTAATGTAGGCCGAAACGTCTATGTAACATTTAATTGTTGTAATTCGATTATAATTTTTTGTAATCAAGTATAACTACTCGCTAAGGATATCTGGCGTTCGTGGTATGCCCTTTATCTTTTCGTTTTTATTTCTTTCCAATTTCATATTTTCAGGAAAAAAAATCTTAACTTTTGTATCACGCAAATTGCTTCGCGTACATACATACAACTTTGCTAGTTCTAGCGCCCTGTTGCCCCCTCAAAACTCGGTGCGTGCATCCGGCACTGGCACGCGCGAATCGTCGCAACCGTCGTCTTGTTCCGCAGCGGCAGGTTAACTAGGTTAGGATAGGATAGGATGTGCTATGGCTTTCTCGTGTAGCAATACGAATACCGGCAGCCGCGTGACAGCGTGAGTACGAAAAGGATACGAGGAATGAGAGTGAAAACTGCAATTGCCAAACTGTCATCGTGTCGTCCTGAAGCGGGGATAATATAGAGCGACGGAACGATCGAATGACGCTCGACGAGCCCGACGAGCGGTAGAATGTGCGAAACGGCGGTTCTCGCTTCGCAGACATTATTATTTTCGTCATTATTATCCTCGTCGTCCCGCGGCGCCTTATTGCCAGAAAGACGACGGCCACCAGACCAGCCCGTTCGATGCCGGCGACGGCGGTGGCGCGCGTCTTCGTGGCCGCGGGCGATGTCGAGTAAGGTGCGCGCGATCTTCCGCGTATTCGAACAACGCGATCGTCGCCTCGAGCTGACGAGTTCCGCACGGTGGCGATCGGTACTCACCGATAACCTCCTTCAGCTCGTAATCGTCCTTGGTATTCGGCCAGCCTTGCACAACCGTGGAAGTGCTCGCGGTCGCCATTTTGCTGGCCAGTGCCGTACCGAGGCGCGCGTGCTTACTGGCTGCTCGGGCGCCCCGCGACAGCGACAGCGACGACAGCGAAGCGGTGCTGACAGTCCGCGAGCTGCCGTCACGTGGTGAAACGGCTGCGGCGGCGGCGGCGACGGTTGGGATGGAGGCAGTGGGGGTGGCCGCGCGAGAAGCGCAGCGATCGTTGGTCGCGGAAGCAGGTGCGCCTCGACTGTTTCGGGTGGTTGGCGGCAACGTTGCCACCGGCGGCACCTTCGACGGCACGGACGGCGTGGATGTGGACGAGCGAAATGACTTCTGACGAAACACGCCGGGCGAGCACGATGGCAGCACGTCTGGCGAGATCCTCCTGGAAGGAGATACAATTTACGCAATTAGATTGAAAACAGTAATTTCTGCGAATTCGACTGTCAATTGAG